AATAAGAGTAAGAGACACAATTCAAACAGAAAAAGAAAAGTTAAACACAATTCTATATGATTGTCATACCCTAAGAGAAGAATAAATGAAGCAAAACAGAATACTTTTTCTCCAGTATGTGACGCGACAAGTATTGACATATCTATGCTCATTAGTTATTTTTACTATTTCTTTCGCACCACTGACATGCAATATTTTCTCAATAAAAATGCTAGCCAACACCGTATCCTCTCATTTGCGAGCATAAAATCGACTTAAACATCTGTTAAATTTAATTTCAGTTGTTTTTGAAATTTAATTTATTCAAATTCAAAATAATCTTAGGTCTCAAATTTTCGGTTTTCAAATTTCAAAAAAATTACTCATAAGAATTTTAATACAAATTAAAATTTCAGTTATATTATTAAACTTTCTGGAATTTATATAGTTCGCTAAAGATTGAGTTTCCTTATTTCAATTTGACGACTTGTAATTTGTAGAGAGCACTAAACTACAATAGTGCTTCTTTTCTTTGTCATTACTGCAGTTTATAAAGGTCACTAGATATTGGGTGTGGGTATAGCTCTTTTTTTTCATATTCCTATTCTGACACACACGGTGACACACCCACACCCCAAATTCGATTAGAGTAATAGAAATCTTATCGTGATCCAATACCGCCAACAATTCAATATCTATTAGATTATGCGGCACTAAAACAAGTCAAACTAATATCATATGTTTATCCATCTTTAGGTTACTGACTGAAAGGACAAGATCAAGCATGGTTGGTTGAAAACTCACATGATCGAAATCTGTGTGCGTCTCTAGCTAGTATAGAATTTCAACGTTATTTTCTGCAATGATTGATTGATTTTGCGCAAGTTACAGGTTACTCGACTTATTGAGTTCGTAATTTCTAGAATTTTCTCGCGAGCACTTGGAATTCATAATTTTATTAGAATATAAATGTACTAGGAATTTTTAAATTTGATGAAAGCTAACACCCATTTAAAAAAAAAGAAGACTAGTGAGTGTTTTTCGAATAACTTTTGACAGGAACATGATAGATAGATACGACTCTAACCGTTCGAAAAAAGTTGTACCATTGAATTGTTCCAAGTCGTGTTCAAGAAAATTGGCTCATAGTTACATTGTCAGTCAGTGAATATGGGTGTGAAGAGAAGATCCACACCCACACCCACACCCAACGATGAAGCAGCATCATCGTCGTCGGAGCTCTATATATATTTATCCAAAAAATAATTACTTCATCATTTTTTATTGAAGTCGATAAGACTTACCATCAAAACTAATATCTATGTTCATCAAAGGTCTAAGATATATTATACCATGTCAAAGTCAATTTTTCCATGAATCAATTGATTTATAATCCAAAATTGTCTACGAGATAATCTTATATCCAATTCCGATCAGTGTGAACAACAAACTATTTCAGAATTACAAAAGATTATTCATCAATTAGACGTCAAAACATTATCTCGAAAATCAGTAGAATTTATTAGTAGAATAAAACTTAAGCAATTAAGTAAGGCTTGATTAATAGAGTGTTCTATAAATGCAAAGATCAAAATAAAAAATTCCAAACATGTGAAAAATCTAATAGTAAGTTTCTCTCTCCAACCAGCCACCAGGATGTCTCCGAATGAGATATTTACGTACTTCGTCGTAGATTAAAATTAGAAAAACATACGGTAATGCCGGAAGCCACCATCGAAATCTATTTTGAAATCGAATTTAAAAAGCATGTTAGGAATCGTATCAGTTCTTACTTCACTGGATAAGTATTGATAGCCGTGCCCGAATAGGGCATGTAGGAAATAATTGCAACTAGGACCATTTCAAATATCAACACAAAATTTAGCATCCAATTACTATTCATTCAAACACATTTACATTTTTTTTGTGAGGTGATTTGGTTTTTTACAGTAAACCTTACCTCATGCCTTGTTGTAGAATGGAATTTCGTCGAGTTTTGCACATAATTAATACAACCCATTGACAAATGACGATAGCAATGAAGAAAGCAATATGACATGTAAATTCGAGTTGTTTGCGTTGTTCATAGGTCTTAAAAAACAAGTTTTCTTTATAATGAATAAATGACGAAATACATACCCATTCTTGACCGTAGGAATCTTGAAGATCATTGACATATTTTGAGTCCCACGACTTTTTCAGACCAACAAGACGTGATGGTAAAAAGCCGTTCTCAGCCATGATCACAAAATAGGTAAAGAATCCAGCACCTACTTGAATGAAACCAATTTGACCGTAGGCTATTGATATAAGACTAAAAAGATAGTGAATATGTTCATTGGCTGATTGACTGCAACTTGTATCTTACTGTTCGTGCACAAGTCGATCATGTTGTCGATTCCTTGGTCGTCGCTTCATAATATTTGTTTCTGCTTTCTCATAGACTAATAAAATAGGCGGTATCATATCTGTTACCAGATCGATACACAAAATGGCAATGGTTCCTAATGCTAATGGTATATCCATTAATAAATGTATCAAAAATGGAGTGAGTTTAGGGATGTTCGATGTTAACGTGTAGGTAATAGATTTTTTCCAATTGTCAAAAATCAAACGACTTTCTTCGATACCAGTCACAATTGAAGCAAAATTGTCGTCCAACAAAATGATATCTGCTGCTTGTTTATTCACCTGCGAACCAGCAATACCTGCGTGTATCGATCGATCTATTTGAGATAGTGAAAAAGAGAAAAGATGCGAACGAACCCATGGCCACTCCGATGTCAGCTTTTTTCATAGCTGATGAATCGCAGATATTTTCGCCTGTCACAGCTACAATAGCACCTTGTCGTTGACACCCTAAGCAGGACACCGATCATAATATCTATCTGTCGATAATGTTTTGCTCACCTTCAACTATAATGAATTTTTGTTCAGGAGATATTCGTGCAAAGACAATCTCTGTATGATTTCTCAAAAGTGCATCGATTTCAGCTGGCAACATTTTTTTGAAATCATTACCATCAATAACACATGCTTTAGCTTCACATGGATCGACTTGTTCTTGAGGAATCCTTAAACGTTCAGCAATATCTTCCACTGTTTCTGTATTTTCCGAAATGATGCCCACAGCACGTGCAAATGCTTTAGCCGTGATCGGATGATCACTAGCCATCATAATTATTTTAATTCCAGCCAAACGACATTTAGCTACACTATAAAACAAAAGTGTCAATGGAGGTCACGCGAATAAAAATGCCGGGAATACTGACACTTCAGGAACAGCTGGTCTTGGCGGATCGATCATTGACATGAGACCGAGAAAACGAAGATTGTCAAGTGGAAAATTGACTTTCTCTCCATCGAATTGATAGTTTTTCAGATAATCATAACTTGACAGACGCAAATCACAAAGACCCAGTACGGATTCTCCCATACTGGCCAATTTCATGTAAGCTCGCTGTAATTCACCTCGCCAATCTGTAAATACATCAAACACAATGGTCGATATTCATCTACAGGTAAAACGACCTCACATTCGTTCATTTCAATATCTGTGCCATCGATAAATATTTTTGAACATCGTTCAAGAATCTGTTCAGGAGCTCCTTTCATCACTAGCATATAAGGCCAAGAATTATCATAACTTTCATTGTCAGTATGCATTTTATGGATCGATACTTGATATCTATTTGTTGAATTAAATGGAACTTCACACACTTTTCGATTGATCTCGCGGAATTTGATGACATTGCCAATCTAAACAAATTAGAAATGATGAGTGAATAATCAATTAAAGAAAATCTTATAACCGATAACTCAACATATTTGAGTAGGGCCGATTCGAACGCATCACCATTACATTCATATTGTAACACTGGTCGCGCTAAATTTTCCGGATCCTGTTTAAAATCAGCTCGATTACACAACATGGCACAACGAGACAAAGCTAACCAGCCAGGTGCATTCTTATCATAGGTAACATCTTAATTTCGCAAATATCATTTTTTTTTCAGTTCTCACTCAACGATAAATCGCTCACTTTCTTGAGATTTCGCGGTATCTGCGTCGAAAATTCGGTTATCGAACCATAGGTGAGCAACTGTCATTCGATTTTGCGTCAATATGCCGGTTTTATCCGAACAGATGATTGACGTCGAACCAAGAGTTTCTATAGCGTGAAAGTATTTCACCAAACAATTCTTTTTGATCATTTGTTTCGCTCTTAGTGTTAAACATATCTAAAGCAGTAATCAAAGAAGAATTTTTTTTGTAAGTCTTTTTTAACAGTCGCTGTTTACAGGCATAGTGGCAAGAAGACTTTTCGGCACATTGGCAATGCTAATAACAACGAGAAAAATGATTGCTTGTATGAATTGATAGCCGAGACTGAGTGCGATGATGAAGAAGGAAATGCCAAGAAAAATGGCTATAACAGTTATGATGTGGATAAAATGAACGATTTCTTTGCAAACCGGTGCGTCAATGGATAGATGCCAACCATGTTTGCACAGACAACAAGTCCTAGCAGCTAGGCAACGATCGCCCGTACGAATGACAAGACCTTTGGCGGTGCCTAATTGATTCGTGAATGTTAGCAAAGTATTACATAAAAAATATTGGACTAACCTTCCATAGCAGGGGTACTGAGAAAAGCCACATTTTTCGTTTCACATTGGTTGTCATGGGTACATTCAACTGAACGTGATTGTGGTTCTGCTTCTCCAGTCAAGGAAGAATTGTCGACTTTAAAACCATGTGATTCGAGAATGCGAATATCGGCTATCCATGTAAAAAGTCACATGAAAGCTCATTTTCTTAAAAGAAACTAACCAGGTACTCGATCACCAGAATTGACTTCGACTATGTCACCCACTACTAAATCTTTGATTTTCACATTCTTCTTCTCACCATTACGAATAACAACCGTTCGCTAGATGGAGAAAACAAGACGATTATACAATAGCGTGCAAATCGTACACTTACTTCAGCGTACCTATAACATATAAGCACACCAATGAAGAGAATTGTTTCGGACAAATTCGAATAAATCATCTTACATGTCTTCGAACGACTCTTTCATTCGGAAACTTTTCGCTTCTTGATAGTACGAAAAGCAGCCGATGACAATCATTACGACAGTCAATCCTATGCCAAGCCATAACTAAAATTTTCGTAAGATGCACATATGACAAGAAAATAGTTGATTGTACGCACATTGTCGTTTGACGCATCTCCGTGATATGTAACACCTGTAATGCCGTGTGCAATAAAGCATAGAATAGCACCAATCCAAAGCAGAGGTGCAACTCCGCCAAACATTTGTTTACAAAATTTTATCCACTCTGGTTCTGTCTTCGACAGTGATAACATATTGGGACCATCACGATCAAGCACCTGTCGAGCTTCAGTATCTGATAAACCCTATGGAGTGATAAACGTTTCGCATCGAATTAATGATTTGTAATACTTACTGTTTTTGGATCAGTTTTATAGCGTTGATAGAGATCAACAAGATCCAGTTTGTGCTCATCCTAAATTCACATAATAGAAATCATTTTTCAATTCAGTTGTACTTGAGTACATAACTTAAAAAAGATGTTCTGAAGATAATCAGTAGAAGAAAATTTAACAAGATATTATTTGCATAGTAAGGAAATATTGAATCGATGTTTTTACTTAGAAATCCAAATTCTCGTTTACTTCTTTCTTCTATGATTTCATCTTTCTTTTTGAAATTATCATTTCTCTTGATTTTTTTGTTGATTCTTCGTCATTGTTATTGACGTTATATATCGACGACTGTCTAATCCCTATCCCGCAAGTCTGCAATGTTTTTTCCTAATACGCAAACATTTCAATATGCACAGATACCCAAAACTTATTGTGTAAACCATAACAATCTGCCATCGATTTTTGAATATCCACGTGAAGTACACCTATACGTCGATCACTCGGAGATTTTCTATTTACTATCAATTCATCTAAAACACCGAAAACAAACAGAATAAGTCAAAATAAAGATAAGCAAATGCTTGGTTAAGCTCAAAAAATATGCAGACATAAATCATCAACCAACGAATAAAAATATAACAGAACTTGTTGCTTATCACAAATGTGTTCAAATATCAAAACTTTAAATTACTTTTCAAAGACAACTAATCCAACAACACAAATCACTCAAATATCTATGCTTGCATCTTGATTCAAAATGTTCCTTTGAAACCATGTTAGATATACAATTAATTAAATTACATAAGAGAATCATGCACAATACTCAACTATATCCAGTGTGCTTTTCCAACGTCTTTAGCTTAAGAATGCAATTCTTTCACATATATACATGGCCACATCTGTACACTATGTCAATAATTTATTGTTTATTTTCAATCTCTAGTCAAAATTAAATAAATGCCTTCTATAGACGCTATCTCAGATTAATATAGTGTACGCACAGAGTATTTTTCAATGATTTTCACGACGTACTAAAACTACCAACTTTAGAAGAAAAATTTCAAAGATGCCTACGACAAAAAAATAAACAAAATTCAAATTTTCGAAAATGAAATGTGAACCTGTGTGTTACTGTACAATAATACTATAAACGACATTCACCGACATTATCTCGCAAAATCATTCATCAAAGTCTTCCTAGTGTTAAACCAAACAAACGAATAACCTCTCGTATACAAAACGACAATTTAACTTTCTTCGATAAATTATACAGCTTCACATGGTCAAAATGACGCAGCAAAATAATCGCTTTTTTCTTTCTTCGTATTCTTCTTTCTTTCTGTTTCTTCTCCTTTCTTCTCTTTTTCTTTTCGTGTCATAACCGACCACATATCTTAAATGATTCTTTAATTATATATATACTAGCCCCACTCAGAGACAAGCATCTTAGACGAGAAAAAAAAGAGTCATAATCTCCAAACTGTATTATTATTGTACTTGGTTCGTTTACTTCACATTTTTTCGGCGTCCCGAGAACTAACTTGTTATGATGTAAAACTTAGATATTTTCTTGGCTGTCAGTAACTGAGAGGTGAATAAAGCCACCAAATAAACTCAAGCGTTATCAAAAAAAACAGTTCATGAGAAGCTTTGTATGTAAGTGGAAGTGATGCTTACACTGTCAAATGCATGCTTGCGACGATAACGTATAAAAAATGAATGTCTTTTTTTGTATGTTTACCTGTTGAGAGTGTTGTTTTTTTTGGTGAGTATTACTTTTTTTATGCTTGAATGCCCAGACTCATTGACGGTGAAACATCGTCAGTTTAAGGAAAGCAAAAAAAAACTTTTCAAATCGTGACGAGAGAGCGAAAAAGGGGTAGTGAATAACTTTTAGAATTCTTTAGTTCTTTTAGCAACTTCTTCGGAGCGTTGTTAACACTGCTTTTCCCTCGACAGAAAGGAAGATCATATTAAATAAAATAGATTTGTGACCGTCGGTGTTTGTTTTCACGCACGTATCTAGCCACGTATATCAATGTATTAGTGAGGTTGATCGAGTTTGACCAGTGGTTTTCGAGGTCGAGGACTTTTAATCTTCGAGCAGCTTTTTCGGAATCTTGAGAATGATTATGATTTTTTTTCTGAAATCACAGAGATCAATCGTAAAATATTTAGGATGTGATCCACCTCCCAGAGTATAGAATCGAACTGATTTCGCACATGTGTCTGGATTTCATACAAATAAAAACTACAATTTTTAAAGTAATGCATATATTTTTACCTCATCTTTCGTAAAAAACTAAAACCGTAAAAGAAATAAACAATGGCCGGATTTTTCGAAGGTTCCCTTGATTCCTACTGGTCCAAAAATTTGTCACAACTGCTTTGGAACCAGTTAGCTAAGAATTTTCTGTTTCTCAATGTATTCATTTTCCTATTATTATGATAATAGTGACATTGTTTTATGCGAGAGAACAATAAGATCTCTAGATTATCATCTTCACCATCATCTTGGATCAAAAGACTTCATCAAGATGATACTACACGGCATGAAGGACATGATGCTGGGTATGATCATTGTTATGGGGGAAGCGCCTCATTTTAAACACTTTGTTTATTTTATATTACAGATGCGTTGAGATAAAAATAAACAATTAATTCTTTAAAACAATTTTTTCACTTGTTTTTTTAATAGGCCCTCTATAACGAAAATATACAGTAACTTATTTTTTTCTTAAATAATAACTATTTTTTAATATGAATTCAATAATACTTTCACATAATTTCAGTAATTTGTTCAACAGAGCACGTCTTATTTATGTCTAAAGTAAAAATAAAATTTCAAACTCAAACAAGAGAAATGTCTTCTGTGATCCTTTGAACAAAGTTATCTATGCTTACAAATAGCTATTCCAAACAAGTAAACTTTTGAAGAACCGTTTGTTTTCCTAATTCGAGATATTTAAAATAACAACAGAATAAAAACCAGCTGCCATTTTGAATGAGTAACTAAGATGGTACATTGCGGATAAGAGTACAGTTTGTGATAGATAATGAACTGCTTAGATAATTAAATTATCAATTAGTAGAATTGTTTGGAAGCATGTTGATATGCATTGACAGAGATTTCTTACTCATGAATATCGCAATGTTTACTTTTTAATTCGGTCAATGGAACTGAACATAAATTTTCTCACTAGATTGATAGAAAAACAGGTTTCATTAAACTGTAATTATAATCAACAAAAAACTGTATCGCAATCAATTACAGAAACAGGCATGCGTTTTTTCTGGAATGAACAATATTCGGGTACTTGACATTCACCGAGTTTTTCCATCGAATTTGATAGTTTCAAGGAGACTCTTAAGCTATATAATAACTATAAACATGTTGGATTCTAGATGATTTGGTTTATTTAGTTTGATTGTTTGAAATCAGTAAGGTTTACCAAAAATATTGTGTCTTATATTACATTCACGAGATCGGATGAAATCAGTAAAATACATATAATTCCCACTAGAGAATGAACCCACATACATATGAGATATATTATGGAAGAGGGTGGGTGTGGGTGTGAGTGTGGACTGTGGGGTGTGGGTGTGAGGGTGTTGGTGTGGGGTGTCGGTGCGGTGTGAGTGTGCGTGGTGTGAGTGTGCCTGATGTGGGTACGGTGTGGGTGGATGTAGGTGTGTGTGTAGTTAAAGAAGTCCCCCACCCACACCCACGCCCACACCCCATACCCACACCCACATCCAAACCCCACACTCACATCACACACCCACACCCTTAATATGATTTTCGTAAGACAATAGAAGTGAATTGGATAAATGATGAAAACTTTCTCTATACTTCTTGAGGATTAGAAAAAAAATGGTTTTTTATTATTATTATTATATGATTTTTTTTGAAGTCATAAATCTTCTACATTGAAACTTCAAAAAAAAAGATGAAATTCCGTAACAAGTAGTATTTTTGTTTTTTCTATTCGATGCGGTTCTGCTTGTTAAGAAATGAGCTAATATTCTAAAAGCTTGTGGAGAACACATCAACTTTCATGCAGGGCATTTATTTGTAAGTCACTTCGTTTCATAGTAAAATGTTAAACTACTAGATCACCCTCAAAAAAAATTCCATTTTTTGAAATTCCGTAACGATTGGTATTCTTACAATAGCTCACCCATAGTCAACAGAAAATGAATGAGATTTTTATTGATAGTAGATCTAAATGGTCTCTATGCAAGATAAAAGTTGCACAGAGTTTGCTTTTGTTATTTAGAAGATATAGTTGTCACAATGTAAAAAGAATGAAGCATCGTAACATTTGGTCATGCCACTCGGCTTTTCTTGCCACTTTCTTGTTTCCATCTAAAAGAGGTCCAATTTAGGTTTATCTCGCTTTCGTGTGCTTGACTACATCACATTTTCAATTTTTTGCATTACCATCTAGACAATGGGGTGTGTGGGTTTCACTTCAGAGATGGCGTACTCCGCATACTTACTCACATCCTTTCTTATATATGTATATAAATGGGTCCTACTCATTTATTTACCTTCATTTGGCAACTGTTACTGCTTTTCTAGACTATGTGTTTTGTTCACCAACATCAATTCATGTGTTCATCGTAATTTTTCTGGTAACAATCAACATCCATTATTCTTATTGCATTTTATTGGAAAATACACTACGATGTTTGCATGCTTATTTTAAAATAGCTCATTTACAAATGTTCAAAGATGGTTAAAAAATGAAATTTCGAAGCCAAGAGATTCTCTCTTACCATACCTTAAAGAATTCTTTTCTATTTATATTAGAAGTTTAAAGAAGAGATAAATCGCAATGCCTATTAGTATACCAAGCAATGCCCAAGTAGACCAGCCCATTATTCTTGTCAATGCAATAATACGTTTGATATTTTCAGTATCGTTGACGTTTGGAAATGGAATTCCCTCAGGAATATCTACTCCGAGAAATTTGCATAGAGGAGGCCATCCTTCTTTGACATTAAATACAAGTAGATTTTCCTTCTTATTCTCATTAACCACTCGAGCATTGTATTGATCATGAAACCATGGTCCAATAGGGCCATATTCATTCGTCCATTTTTTCATAATCTTTCGACCGACAATGCATTGCAATCGCAAAAATCGAATAAGATAGACAGCAAAATAATAATAATTGTCTACAGAAACAGGTCCAACGGTATTTTGGAAACTCTCAAACTATTTTTCGTCACTATCTCGTAGAGTGAGCACAATTTTTGCTTTCGGATAAGCCTTATGAATTTCTTTATAAAAATCCGATGTCGGAGAATCAACTGTTGATCCATATCCTTTCATTAACTCATGAAAATCGACTTTGTCTCCATCGAATGCTCGAATAAATTGTAAACTACGATCAGGCTTGTCGAATAGTTCGGACATATGATGACAAGGACCGAAGCCAAGTAATTCAAGCGCAGCTTTGAGTGATGATGTACCTGTACGTCCTAATCCAGCTCCAATAACTCTCAGATAATCAGCATTGTCACAATCACTTTTTCGACTGTGTACCAATCGTCGTTGAAAGATTGCTTTCGCCATTTTCTTGGACTTCCTGCAAAGGAAATAAAATTTTAAGATGAATCGTAGCTGCTCGAGCATAATCAATATTTCTGAGAATATCTAGCTTAAATGACAGCATCGATTCCAGAGAAGAAAGATGATTCACAATGCCTAAATGATGAGTAGATTTGTCAAAGTGCAAAACAATCCAATGTTTTAAGAAAAATACTTCTGAAATCTCATTGCATATCTTCAAGGAAAAAAGAACTCGAGAATTGATAGAAAGAATATGAATGAAAATAAAACATGAGTATTTTCATCGACAAGAAACTCACACTCAAATGCATTCATAGTCGAATAAACACAGATACTTTACCTATAGAGTCACATGTGTGTGTTGTTGGTATTTTTTTTCTTACTGATGAAGCAACAAACACGCAACGAAACAAAATACAGAAAAGAACAAAATATTTAGTGATGTTAATTTCGTCCTACTGTATGTATGTTTGATTCGATAGAATGGTATAGAAAAGATCGAAAGAAAAAATGTCGAAATAAATAATGTCGATCATATAAAAATGTCGAAAGTTAGAAGATGTCGTAAATACACAGCTCACTGTGAAATGTGTTCTATTGAATTGTATCATCCTCTTATGGTATTCGTGATTGGCAGTTCATTGTGGAAATCGAACAATAGAATAAGAAAAAAGATGACCTTGATTACGAAAAGGATTGATGGAATTTTTTTTATTATAGGTATACTAAGTGACTTTTCTTACTGATTTAATAGCAATACATTTATATATTAAGTGATTTTTCTTATTGATTCAATATTAATTCGTTTATATATGAAATTATTTATGCTGTTGATTCAATATTAACTTATTAATATATTCAGTTATTGATCTTGTTGATTTAATATTAACTGATTTAATGTCGCTTACTAGAGATAAACCATCATTTCTTATTTCGAACAAAGGTAAACTATTGTTGGTTTTAAATAATATTTTTTATAAAAAAAAAACAAAGAAACGAAAACAAAGGAAATATTGGGTATGTCAAACAAAAGGATGTTCTGTCTATGTACACACCAGTCTTAAAGATGTTGTACTCAAAGTTACTCGTGATCATAATCATTTACCTCATCCTGAGAATATACAGTTAAAACAGTTTCGTACAAAAGTAAAAGAACGTGCTATGAAAGAGACAACTCCAATTATTAAGATTTACGAAGAAGAAGTGATATCATCTCAAATGCCGCCAGAAACATTAGCAATTATGCCTTTAGCACGTGAACTACGTAAGAATAATACTTAGGGCATATCAAAAGTAGTGGCGCCGACTCTGTAACATTTTACAGAAACCTTTAAGAAATTTTTTCGCTCTATATTCTGATAGCCCAAGTCAAGATCTATAATCCTATGATATTTCATAAATCTTCAAACAATATTATATCAACAAAAGTTTCGATACTCTTCAGTTTTCTGCAGCTTTTATAAATTTTCACCTAGAAAATATACAAAAACTAATTACACACACAGATAAAACAAACAGAACACGTGTGTTTCACATGTGTAAATGAAGATAGATATCAAAGAAGTTAAAAAGACTGAGAAAAGAAAGAGAAGAAAGGAGAAAGTTAGAAAGAAAAAAAGAAGAGGGTATGGGTGTGGAAGTGGATGGATACAAGACCAACAGCAACACTCACATCGACACTCAAGTGCAAATAATGAACGAAGATTGGTCTACTTGTGCAGTTGCTACTTGTAACAGATCTACGTTTCATTTATGATGCATTGTTCATTTAGAAATTCAAATAGAATCATTTCATCAGTACTCATGAACTTAAAAATCAAAGTTCTGAAATTCAATTGATGATGAAAATGTTCGTTTTATTTAATAAATTTTGAATACATGGCTTTTTATGGTGTGAGTGTGGCGGTTGGTATGCGTGTGAGTACTAGTGAAGAGCACCCATACCCACACCCACTCACATCCTCATGAGAACAGTTTCTTTTGCATAGAGAACCTAAAGAATGTTTTTAGAGTAAGCTAAAAAACGCACTAAAATGACTTCACGATATGTTGTCAACAAAGGAACGCATTTTTTAAAAAATAGTTATTTCTTATTGGTTGTTTCTCAAGTTTCCTCTACTTCAAAACTGACACATCGTTATAATAACGGAAGCAAACTATTGCCCATGTAGAACTTAATTGCAAAGCCTATTTTGAAAAAAAAACTCGATCTTCTGGAGGGGCTCTCTAATATGTCGATGGCTTTATATCAAAAAACATTGCTAAATATTGAACGACCCGTAATGCATTCATCTATATCCGAATAATACATTGTTCGTTTTATTAACATCTTTCAATACATCATTTGGACAAAAATTGAATGAATCAGCAGGAATCGAAACTTCTTGATTTACTTCTATAAAGAGAAATTGTTACAATCAGATTGACAATTCATTGATGAGGAAGAATACACAAAATTTCTCAAGCCAATATGAACCGACATTCTTTGAATTGTATCGTTCGATAGCGACTACTTTGATTATGAAGACTAACAGAAAGAATAGGTTGCCAATCAAAAAATATGGTGACTGTATACAATTATATACGATCTTAGTCAGTTATGTATAACAATCTTATAGCGCTTCGACTATGTTTGTCATGTGGACAGAGTTCATTTATGCACTTATATTTATTTGACCTAGGCAAAATATTGCTCTCCTTCATTCGTTCTCGTTTGAGATATAAGATTTATATATATAGCTATATATAGCGCATCGGTCATAAACTGATTGTATGACCTATCGCAACTAAGTGAAGAAGAAAAATTATGGACAAAGTTTCAGTTGAAGTTCTCGAGGATCTTTTTCTAAAGCATACATAATGTATCTGATTTGTTGAATGCTCGTTTGGTTTGTCGACAATGGCACACTTTAATAACAAACGAATATTTTCTCAATAAATACTTTGACAAACGTTATGGAATGCAACCGAAACAATCACTCAAATGAAAGGGCTATGATAGTTTGTAAGTTCACTCAGAAATATATATCACGAAATAAGACTAATAATTAAGATATAACGGGTGCCTTACAACAAATGGCCGAGTTTTTATTTCATATTTTAATTCCTAAATACGTTTTCTTGAAAAAAAACAGAATACTCTACAAGATATAGGGTGAAAAGTTCTACAATCCGTAAAATAAAGCTTATTTTAATTTGACCGTTTTTGCTTTCAAAACTAGCAAAATTCTGTGCGATCGATTTTTGCTCCTTTGAAAAGGTCATTCCCTTTTGTTTATTTCATCTTTTTATCGTCTAACACGTTTTTTTAAAACAAAATAGAACACAAGATGCAGCGTGAAAATCAATACAATCTACAAAGCAAGGCTTATTTTAATTGTGTACTGTTCTTTTAAAAAAGCGAATCGATTTTCGACGCTGCGATCATATCATTTTTTGTAAATGGACGACGGGTTTATGTTATTTTCATATTTCGTTCTTTTTATCATTTAATAGGTTTAGTGGAAAGAAAACATAATATATCAATCGATACAGCGTGAAAAGCTCTACAATCTCCAAAGTAAAGCTTATCTTAATTGTGGACTTTTTCATAAAAGAAAACGAAATTCTGTATGAGCACTTTTCGCGGCGTCAAAAGTTGATCGTACAGAATTTTGCTTGTTTCCAAAATAAAAAGCGACAGAATTAAAATAAGCTTTACTTTGTAGATTGCAGAGCTTTTCTGGCAACATCTTCTGGGATATTATATTCCTTAATACAACATATTTAGAGATTAACATTCGAAATACGAAAACCGGCCAATCCGTTATTTTCTCTTTATGTAATTGTGACCTAGTCCTGTACGTAGCAGTTTATGAGCTTCGTTAGAACTCATAGTAAATATATCTGAGTCAATTGCAACTTTTTGGTACAATTGGCACGAACCATTGAGATTGGACCTAAACGAATTATGAGTCGTACTTTTAATTATAGACTATGTCTGTGATAAGCAACAAAATTTTCTCAACACTTCATTCAATATTAGGAGAAATATACGAACTTCCGCTTAATTGAATGATAAGATTGTCTTTATTCATTGAAAAAGCTCGAATCATTTTTCAGCTCTGTGTGACGGACAAGAAATTGGAAAATTTCCATCATATATGCGAATCATCTTTGCGTATCTTGTTGATTTGAATGAATATCTGAAAAGAATACTTTTGAATACATTGAACTGAAGATATCTGCAGAAAAATCGTCAATCTAATTCTTTTAGTATAATGTGAGTATCTCCTAAGCGAAGAAACATTAACGGCTGAAATTTTTATCACTAACAGAACTTTTTGTTTTACATCTACTGTGAAAGTTTAAGTCAAATCGAATGATCGATGGAAGAGTTATAAATCAGTCAATTTTCAAAACATTACTCTACCAAGTAAATATACTGGCCTTTTTTTCAGAAAGTCTTGTTATTTTTATCCAGAAACAAAGCTGATAACACAGATCTTTTTCATATAATTTGTTACTTAATATAGTCTTCGCACCGTCGGTTTTATCACTGACAGAGCTAGAATCAAGTTTCTATCAATCTGCACAAAAACATACAACTATCTGTCAAATAATTTTGAGAGTTAGACAAAGAAGAGGACAACACAGAATATCAATCAATGATATATTTTGATAGAGCGTCGGGCACTGTACAAAATGGCCTAATAATATATTGCTTCTCTATAACCAAAAAATTCCTTTTTCTTTTCACATGTCAGCAAAAACTAAGTTTTTTTTTTTTGTCATATATCTCTCATAACTAAGTGATAGTATGAGCTACAGAACCGAAATTTTTATGTGGCAATTGGCATACGAAGAGAAATGACATATAAAAAAATTGTCCAAGTCAATCGAGAGAAACAGAAATTATTAGCCAAATACATTTAAAACTTCAACTGTATAAAAAAGTTGCAGTTCATTCACTTACTTTTTCGTTTCAATGCCGTTTCAGAGTATTTCATCATAATTAAAATATG